AGTAGTAGCAGTAGTGGTAATAGTTGCAGTAGTGGTAGTAGTAGCAGTAGTAGTAGTAGTAGTAGTAGCAGCAGCAGCAGCAAGAGCCACTTTTTATGAGAGGTCATTGTTTCACGGTCGTGCGGTAACACAAGCCCCCCCCCCCTCCCCCCAACCCTGAACCCTAAACCCTAAACCCTAAACCGCGTCTGCGGGTCGCTGGGTCGCTGGGTCGCTGGGTCGGTTGCGTCGTCCGTGGGTTCTTGGGTCACTGGCGCTGGGCCAGTGGGTGGGTAAGTAGATATCATAACAAGGAGACATGTAAAGCTAGCATTTCGTCATTGCCGAAGTGTTTGTCGAGCACCTGCAACAGTCGGGCACACGGTAAGCTGCAAGTATGAAACCTGTGCTACGATCTTGCAAATCGGAGCATCTGCTTCTCCTTGTGTTGCGAGGCGATTGAGCCAAACCAATCTCTCAAGCCAAGCTCCAGGCCAGCGTCCGCGACTGAACGCGTCAAACAGCAGGAGCACCACCTGCACACGGCACACTGAACAGACGAATCACATAGTTGATGCCGATGGCAAAGGCACCTTTGATGGAAATGTTGGGGTTGTTCTTGGCTAGAATTTCTCGACCTCTGCCCTTGTGATCGAAATCACAGTTGTGGTCCTGTCCAGGCTCACTGCATGCATGAAGGCTGTGCATCGCAGCAATTGGACGGTTCGAATGTGCGGAAAGCGCTGTGACTCGGCTGGAACTGGAATTGTCCTCTGCGTGTCTGCACTTCGCGCAGAAAGTGTAGCCACACTTGCATTCAAAGCCAGTGAGACCACACCTGCGTCTACACAGCTTGCGGACAGACCGCTGTAAAACAAGCTCAGAAAGAGCAGACCAAGAGAGAACAGTACTAAGATGAAGGCTTCTTACCGCAGAACCAGCATTTGGTCTTGTCCTTCGAGTTGAATGGCAAGGCTGCATTTTCCGATGTATGGCCGTGGGCCATTGCGAAAGAATCTGCTCCTTCTGTTCTTCCTTTGGCACGTCTTCCATAGCCTCGCAAAAAAAATGGCTGGCCTTGGCGGACTGCGAAAGCAGCCCTCCTCCGGATGTTGGGCCTCGGAGTCAGGATCTACTTTTCCTTGCTCCTCTTTGGCTTCCTCTTCCCTGTCATCGAAACAAACTTCTGGCATTCAGGCCGTGCGAGAGAGAAAGAGATAGCGAGAGAAAGGGTCCTGCAACATTTGCAGCCGTGCATTATAAAAGAAGACACGACTCGGTAGCATCCTCGACCATCAAGTCTGATAGCCATGGCTGGCAGACACTGCTTCGCTCTAACGATCTTCGAGTGCCGGAATGGGAATGGATGGGACCACACCGCCACACCGATCAGCGATGAAGACCCCCAACTCCAAACTCCGACTTGACATGTTGGCCGCTGTGCTGAATACGCGACAGCTTCACTTGTCTTTTTTTGCTTTAGATTCCTCTTCCTGACAGAAATTGACCCTACGGAATCCTCGCCAAGCACCAAGGCACAGTACGAGCAGCTCTGCGTTGCTCCTCTTCCTTTTTCTTTCTCTCGGCATAGCATTTTGAGCCTGACAGTTTCAGAGCTGACCACAGAGCTGCCTCATGCACACGACACAGCTAAGTACAGTACAATAGTTATCTGTCTTGGCGGTGCCGCAGAATCCACACCCGCCGCGGCAGGGAACTGGAACCACCTGCAGCGATTGTCACTATTTTTCAGGTGTTGATGAGGATCTGGAGGTAAGCACTTCCACCCCGTTGAGCAATGTGGAGTACTGACAACTTGAGGTGATTTGCGCAGATATGTGGCAAGTGCAAGTGTGTGCAGGCCGTCACAGCGAATGAGTTGCTTTTTCTCTCATCCGTCTCAAAAGGCAACAGAGACAGCAAAAGCTAAGTTGCCGGCAGGCTCCTCTTCCTTTTTTTCTACCTGCGCAACAGGAAAAAACTGGAAAGCAGAGCAGAGCTTGCCAATACTACCCTCAGAATGAAATCACATCAATGACGTTCGTGGATGTGCTTGCCGAAACGTGTTGAACGGACGCAGCCAGCCGTCGGCCTTGGTCTCTGCTCCACCAGAAGCGCTTGAGGCTCCCTTGACCTGCACCACTTTGTCGTGACACGCCACAATGAAATAATGCTACCGTGAAAGACATCTTGCCGGCTTAGGAGAATGCTGCAAGACTCATGCTGAGGCCATCACAAGGAAAAGTGTCGACTTATCGCTAATCTTGGCTGACTCGAGGGTGTCCTCGTCCTGTAGAGCACACACACACGGCCACAAGCATTGTCCAACTGTGGAGAAGTTGCCCAGCTTCTTTGGAAGTCTAACACTTCTCAGAAACACGAAAGTACCCTGCAAGAATGCTTCAAAGATGTCGCATGTCAACAAGAGGATGCAGCACCAGCAAGAACAGAGAAAGAATCATCCTAGCAGCAATCATGACAACAACTCTTGACTAGTCAAGAAGTCATACTGCAAAAAACTCTAACCAACTAGACTGAGACGAACCAACAGAACCGTGACACCACTTGGCAGTTTGTGATTAACATCACAGGGTTAAGGCTTTAGAGAAGGCTTCAGGTCTTGGCTTTGGGGTCAGAGATGGTCAGAGATAAGTGATTGCTGGACATGACAATCGCTAACCGCTCCCCAAGC